TTTTTTGTCGGTCATGGGGCTTGAACTCTGGGCCTGGGTGCTGTCCCTCAGCTCTTCAGCTCAAGGCTAGTGCTCTACCACTTGAGCCACTGCACCACTTCCAGCCTTTTCTGTTTATGTGGTGCTGAGGAATCGAGCCCAGGGCCTCATGCATGTGAGGCAAGCACTCTACCACTGAGCCACCTTCCCAGCCCCCATGAGATTCTTATCTCCACAATTAACCTCCAGAAAACTGGAAGTGGCACTGTGGCTCAAGTGGTAGAGCTTTCACCTTGAGCTGAAAAGCTGAGGGACAGCACCTAGGCCCAGAGTTCATGACCCATGACAGACCAACAACAACAACAACAAAAAGATGAAGTTAATGAAAATGTGTCTGGAATGGCTGTGCAAACAGCTTCTTAGATAGTTTGGTACTGACAAAGTAGAGGCTGGGGGAAGGAGTGTCTCAAATGGCCATTTAAGTATTGACACAATAAGCTCTTAGACTTACAATTCTGTTCTGTATACCTGAAAGTATATGCCGTCTCCCATTTCTTAAAATGCCCTTAACTCTAATGTTCATCCTTTTATTTTCTGCTCAAGATAGCACTCTACCAATTTGAGCCACAGTGCCACTTCCAGTTTTCTGGAGGTTAACTGGAGATAAGAGGCTCATGAATTTTTCTGCCTGGGCTATCTTTGAACTGCAATCCTCAAGATCTCAGCCTCCTAAGTAGCTAGGATGACAGGTGTGAGCCACTAGTGCCTGGCTTAAATGTTCATTCTTAACACTACCACCACTCACTAGTAGAGTGCAAAGGTATTAATTGGTGTCATGAATACCTATAGATATCTCTCCTTTATCTCTCTTCTTAAGATTTACTTTTTTTTTTTGGCTAAATAGGATCACAGCTATGGTACTGTGTGAAGTCTGATGTGAAATTTAGTCCCACAGAGTCTGCCTCCAGAGCTGAGTGTATTTCTCATGCTGGCAGCATGCACAAGCTCTGGGCCTATCCTCAGCACTGAAATTAAAACAAAACAAAAGGCCTGCCCCTGTTTCTATATCTAGCTTCCTACTGATGACTCCACGGAAACCCACCTCTGCTGACAACAATGCAACAGGGGGTCAAGTATCACTATTTTGGCTTAAAATTCAGTTTGTGTAAATACCTGAAGCTTCTAATCCCACCCTTGACACTGTCTTTCATATTCCCGAGTGACCAGTAGAAGCCTGCAGAGGACAAGTTTATATAGGTACTTACAGATGTGCTGGCTGTGGCCTGTGAACTAGAGCTGGTAGGTGCAGATGTGTCTGATGAGGTGGAAAGCTGTCGCACCAAGGGACTATGTGGTGAATGGTGGGTGGCCGCCAAGTAGCCTGAACTGCTTGTGTCTGTGTGATGCTTCAACACTGCAGAAGTCAACAGAAAAGAGAGAAACACATGGCTATCTTAACCAGTTCTATTTCTAACATTCACTAGGAATGCTAGCAATTCACACTAAAGGTAAAAATGCTTCCTAAGCCTAGAGGATAAAAAGGTGAAGCAAACTGGTTGATGGGAAGTAGGGGGCCGGGCAGAGGTTGCTGCAGCAGTAAGAAATGACCTGCATCTAGAAGCAGTAGCACCCCGCTGCTTTGCCTTCCTAGAAAGCGAAGTACAAAGCTGAGGGGCAATTAAGAGAAATCTGGGCTGCCCCAGAAAGCTGTGAGCAGGTACAAATGCAGGTAGAGATGCCAGGCCTGGCCCTACCTTCACTTTTCTCAGATGAATGGTCTCGCAATCTCATTTTGCTGTGGTTTGGGTCATGCACAGGTGTTGGTGGATTGAGCAAGCGCTCTGCTTTTGGCGCTGTCACTCGCTCTACCATGGGCACGGCCCCCACATCGTCTAAGTGCTGCCTGTGGGTCCTGTCAAGCCGGGTTTGGTGATGGGACAGCTCTGAGGAGGGGAACAGAAAAAGAGCTGTGAAATATCTTGTCTCAAAGCTTTCCTTGAGTTTTGAGTTCTTGTGTTCTCTCTAGGCCAATACTATATATACCCAGGGCAGCAGGATATTTCTTTGGGAATAAAGTTTTTCTAGTAAACAGCACAATAGCTGATACTAGGAATCACAACCAGAATACGATCTGTGCAAAGATAGGTCAAATGCCAGGCCACTGCTGGCTGTTCACTGACATTTCAGATGGAGTCCCAAGATCCATGGAGTTTAAAACCACTTCCAAAGTCTATCAGAGAGCATTTCAGACAAGTAGTAATAAGACTATAAGGTGAATTAATGTGTGTCTTGCCCAGCCCCAACACACTGGCATGGCAAACCAATAATGAGAAAATTTTAAAGAATGAATAAAGAGCATCTGGGCCTCTGGAAGACTACCCAGGTCTCTGAAACTTACTGGCTGTTGTTAGGAAGGAGCTGACCAACTTGTGCCTGTCTTTACGAGTTGGATCTGGCAGACTGCCTGGCATGGGTGCTCTGTGCTTAAGTGAATACTTCTTGGGAGGTCTAATCTTGTCAAAAGGCTTGTTCTGCCACTGAGTTTTCAGCATGCTCTGGAAGTGCAAGCCTGTGGGAACATCTGCAAGAAACAGAACACTGAAGGTTAGTCCCACCATGGCCCCTGGGCTCCTGGCAGTGAGGGGTGTTTACTATTTCACACTCCTCTTTGATTTGACCAGTGGCTGGATACTGGCAAGGACAGGAACTATCACTGGAAGATCCATCTATGCAAACTTTTTGTTAAAACTTGACATAGGGTATGATTATGTAAGTCAGTCTGGCCTCAAACACATGATTCACCTACCTCAGCAGTGTGTGTGCCACCACACTCCTCCCATTTATGAGAACTATACGGAACATCATTCTATTCAAAATCAATTCACTCTTCCTTTTATTGTCAAATTAGGGAGCAGTGAGGAGAGAAATACTGAAGGGAGCTGGTTTTTCTTTTAGCAAGGATTTTAGTATAACAGGGTCAAAGTAGGTAGAAATGGAAAAGAGAAACATTTTCTGCTCCTCATTCAGGAAATGAGTTAAAGACTCCAGACAGGAGATACTCTTTTTCCTGAATTTCCCTCCTAAGCTTAGTAACTTTATTGGTTTGACAATAACAAATCTATTTCCACCTACAGACTTAACTCTGCTTCTTTCTAACAGTATAAAGTTAATCAAGATATACTTATTAGCAAGTATTTATTAACAGTTTACACAGGCTGGCTGGGCACCAGCAGCTCATGTTTGTAATCATAGCTACTCAGGAGGCTGAGAATTAAGCACTGAGGTTCAAAGTCAGGTCAGAAAGTTTGTGAGGCTCATCTCCAATTAAGCACCAAGCAAAGAAGTAGAATAAGTCTAGACAGATGCTCAGTGGTAGAGGGCTTACCTAACATACGTAAAAGGCTCTGGGTTCAACTCCTAGCACTCAAGATAACACTAGGTTTTTTGTTGTTGTTTGGGTTTGGTTTTTTTGAGACAAGGTCTCACTGCCACCCAGACTGATCTGAAACGCCTAGGTAAGTCGTGTTTGAGGATTTGTGTGCCTGGGCTGGCTCTGAATAACCTTCTTCATATTTCAGCTTCCTGAGTAGCTAGGATTATAGGTGTGAGCCACCAGTGCCCAGCTTCTAGATTCATTTTTATTTTCCTAAGAATATGTATGTCATTCAGTCTTAGTTTAAAAAAATTTTCTTAGAGCCAGGCTGCAGTGGCTAACGCATATAATCCTAGTTAGTCAGGAGGTTGAGAACTAAGCATTGCAGTTCAAAGCCAGCCTGGGCAGTAAAGTCCATGAGCCTCTTATCTCCAACAAACCACTCAGAAAAAGCTGGAATTGTGCTGTGGCTCAAGTAGTAGAGTGCTAACCTTGAGTACAAAGAGGCTCAGGGATAGCACCCAGGCTCTGAGTTCAAGTTCCGGGACTGGCAAAAATAAAAATAGAATTTCCTTAGAAAAATAATTTTTGGACTCGAGACCATGTTTTTCCCCAGACATTTTTCTTGTAGGCAATTTAATTTTTTTTTGGGGGGGGGGTCGGTCATGGGGCTTGAACTCTGGGCCTGGGTGCTGTCCCTGAGCTCTTCAACTCAAGGCTAGCACTGTATCACTTGAGCCAGCATACCACTTCCAGTTTTTTAGTGGTTTATTGGAGATAAGAGTCTCATGGACTTTCCTGCCCAGGCTGGCTTTGAACAGTGATCCTCATATCTCAGCCTCCTGAGTAGCTAGGATTACAGGCGTGAGCCACTGGCACCCGGCTGGCATCTAATTTTTATCCTTTCAATTTTATGGCACTGCACTAACTCTATGGAGTAGGATGGGGAGAAATGCTGTGCATATTAAGTCCATTCAAGACCATGGCAGCTGTCCTCATTCATTAAAGTTTTCTTTAATGTTTTTCTCTCAAGTGTTTTATATTTCTCAATAAGCAAGTTCTATATGCCTAGTTTTGCTGAGGTAATCCTGAAGCATTTCATGGTTTTTGATGCTGCTATAAAATAACAAACCCAGAATCTTGCACATACCAAGTCCTTTTTATCAACTTATCTACTGCAAATACAGAAGTACAGTAAATTTTAGCATAATGATCTTGTATCTTGTGATCTTGTTTAACTTCTGATTTATAGTTTGTTCACTGTGTGTGTGTGTATATATGTTATATGCATATATACAAGTAAATTAAAAATACACTTCTATCTACAAACAGAGATTGTTTTATTTGCCACAGACCCATACTTCTGGCATTTTGGTAGTTAATTGGAGATGAGTCTCACTGACTTTTGTGCCCAGGCTGGCTTTGAACCATAACCCTCAGATCTCAACCTCCTGAGTAGCTAGGATTACAGGTATGAGCCAACTGGGTACCTGGCTAGATTTTCCTTTTTTATGTGTCCAATTTTCTCACATTTTATTATCACCATGGATATAGGTACGAGTCTACTTTCCTTGGTCAGGCAAAGCTTGCCAACATTTTGACCAAAAGGCCAACATTTCACTACTGGATGGTAGAAGGCATTAGTGCTAAGGATTAGGAATATGAGAAGGAAAAACCCTATTTCAAAGCAAGTCCAAATTTATCACCCAGACTACTGCCTAAATTCTACCCTTTATCCCCTTTAATTCCAGATGAAAAACTTCCTCTAAAGCTTCCTATTCCACTGGATCTTACATTTATTTGCATGTGCTTTATGCTACTGTTTCCTTTATCCTATGTTTCTTACCTTTCAAAAATAATTGTATTACTGATATAATGCCTTTTTTTCCAAACTACTGTAAACCTTCCCTTATATATATGTACATATATATTTATATGTAAATTATATATACACATGTGTGTGTATATATATATACACACACACATACATACATACATATATATATATATTTTTTTTTTAAGGTATTTACAGGGTTTTGGCCCATAGGGCCAAATATACTTTAAGCATTGTGTGTCTACCAAATCTTTACAATAAGTCTATGATGTAAAGCAGTTACACATTTTAGATAGAAAACAAATCTGATGATTATAATCTTTTTTATTTTTTGTCAGATGTGGGGGGCCTGAACTCTGAATCTGGGCGCTGTCCCTCAACTCTTCACCTCAAGGCTAGTGTTCTACCACTTGAGCCATGGCACCATTTCTGGCCTTTTCTGCTTATTTGGGGCTGAGGAATGGAACCCAGGGCCTCATGCATGCAAGGCAAGCACTCTATCACTGAGCCACCTTCCCAGGCCCTGAAGATTATAATCTTAAAGGACATATTCCTAGCTATGAGAACATTCACTGACCTTAGGAAATGGAATGGTTTGATTTTTGTGGTGAAGTCTAATATTTCTAAAATTATTGCCAATGAAATGAAGAATAAGGAATATTTTTCTAAGCCAGGCACTGGTGGCTCCTACCTATAATCCTAACTACTCAGGAGGCTGAGATCTGAGGATCAGTGTGAAGCCAGCCCAGGCAGGAAAGTCTATGAAGATTTTCATCTCCAATTAACCACCAGGAAACCAGAGGTGGTGCTGTGGCTCAAAGTGGTAGAGTGCTAGTCTTGAGCAAAAAAACTCAGGGTCAGTGCCCAGCCATGAGTTCAAGCCCCACGACCAACAGAAAACAAAACAAAAAAAGAATGTTTTTCTCAAAGAGGACTCTGCAGAATAAGGCTTGGACTCAGGGCCTAAGCATTGTCCCTGAACTTCTTTTTGCTTACATGGCCACAGCGCCACTTCCGGCCTTTTCTGTATATGTGGTGCACATACACAGAATTGAACCTAGGGGTTCATGCATGCTAGGCAAACACTACAACTAAGCCACATTCCCAGCCCAATTTTTTTTTTCTTTCTGGTCCTGGGTGCTGTCCTTAAGCTCCTTTTGCTCACAGCTACCACCTGAGCTACAGTACCACTTCGGGCTTTTTCTATGATTAACTGGAGATAAGAGTCTCACAAACTTTCCTGCCAGGGCTGGCTTTGAACTGATTTTGACTATTCAAGTAGGTAAGGCAGTACTTAAGCACCAAGACTGTTTTAATATCAACAAACATTTGCCACATGTTAAATTGTGAAACTGTGCTTCTATTTGACACAGCTCAACTAAAGACTGTACAACTGAAACCTAATTGTGGTTCAGAAGCTCAAGCAGCATTTGGCTGTAGAGCAGTCTGACAGTGACACTGATCCAGGATATTTAATGGAAGCTTGAAAAGAGGACTTAATATTGAAAGATTACCATTCTTAGTAGAAAAGTTACCTCCACTATTTTGCAATGGCTATGTATACATTATATAAGCAATGCATTATGACTTTGCCTTCTTATTGATCTCCCAAATGTGAAAATTAAGTCTATATGTGTGTGAGTGTGGGGGGGGATAGGAAGTAAGAGGCTTGGCTGTGTAAACAGCAACACCTGAGAACTAAGAAGGCTAAATAGTAAAGAAAACAAAAAAAATCAGTTAAGCTTTAGTTTCTGTTTTTTAGAAGAATTTAAAACGAATTTATTTATATGTATTTATTTTGTGTCCAACTTGGGGGAAGGGAGACGGTTCTTGAACAAAGGAACTTGGGCTCTTGCTTCACTTTTTTCTCACTCCAGGCTATTATATATACCTCTACTTCCTGGCTTCTTCATCATTTTGAAAATGAGCAGTGGTTAGTAAAATTCTCGCACAACCTTTAAGCTTCCACTTCCTGTCTTCTGCAGATAAAAACTTAAGCAAGCACAATGGTCATTCCTGTCTTATCTAATACCTCAAATTCTTCAGGGTGGGGAAGTGTAACAATATACATAGCTATTATTTCCCTCACATTTTTTTTTTTTTAAATCAGTCCTGGGGCTTAAACTCTGGGCCTGGGTGCTGACATTACCTACCGCTTGAGCCACAGCACCACTTTCAGTTTTCTAGTGGTTTATTTATTGGAGGTAGGAGTCTCACAGACTTCCTGCCCAGACTGGCTTTGAACTAGGATCCTCAGATCTCAGCCCCTGAGTAGTTAGGATTACGGGTGTGAGCCACCAGTGCCTGGCTCCCTCACATATTTTTTGTATATAATTTTTTTTTTTTGGTCGGTCCTGGGGCTTGAACTCTGGGCCTGGGCGCTGTCCCTCAGCTCTTCAGCTCAAGGCGAGTGCTCTACCACTTGAGCTACAGCGCCACTTCCGGTTTTCTGGTGGTTTATTGGAGATAGGAGTCTCACGGTCTCTCCTGCCCGGGCTGGCTTTGAACCGTGATCCTCAGATCTCAGCCTCCTGAGTAGCTAGGATTACAGGCGTGAGCCACCAGCGCCCGGCTTGTATATAATTTTTATTGTAAAAATACTGTACAGAGGGGTTCCAGTTACATGAGTAAGGTAATAAGTATATCTCCTATCGAGCATTGTTACCTCCTCCTTTGTTTTTCCCCTATCCCTCACATTTTTAAGGGGCATCAATTAGTTGTACAAGGGATTTCATCTTGACATATCTACATATGACATAAGCCTTAGGAGGCATGAGAACATTTATTTACATTACTGGCATGGCATGAATCTCTCAATTCTAATAAACTGAATTAATATCACTTCAATGCTTTCAAATGGTAGCAGGTTCAACTATAGAACATCACACATGAAACATTGCCTTGTGCTCTAAAAATATTAAGTAGCATACAGATGCATCAAAGTGTTCAAGAGACCAACGTAATTAAACTTTGCCAGAAACTTGCTGTGTTTTCTTTTTGTTTTGTTTTTGGGTCCGGTCGTGGAGCCTGAACTCTGGGCCTGGGTGCTGTCCCTTAGCTCTTCAGCTCAAGGCGAGCGCTCTACCACTTGAGCCACAGCTCCACTTCTGGCTTTTTTCTTTTTGCTTATGTGGTGCTGGGGAATCAAACCCAGGGCCTCATGCATGCAAGGCAAGCACTCTACCACTGAGCCACCTTCCCAGGCCCCTTGCCGTGTTTTCTTTTAACCATTTCTACTTAAGAACAAAAAGAAGCTGGATACTGGTAGTTACTCAATAGGATGAGATCCGAGGATCACACTTTGAAAGCAGCCACAAGACTCTTATCTCCAAGTAACCACCAAAAAGCTGGAAGTAGAAGTGTGGCTCAAGTGGAAGAGTCAAGCCTTGAGCAAAGAAGCCAAGTAAGAGTGTGAGGTCCTGAGTTAAAGCTGTCCCAGTAATGGCACACATGCTCATGCCACAAACAAAATGAATAGGAATCCAGCTAAATCCCCTAGGTAATAAATACACTCCTGGTCTAAGTCCACACCCTAAATGAATATTAAGAATATCTAATTAAAAATCTAAACTTTAAGACTAGATGTATTACCTGAAAGTAAACAAAGGGATATGATATTTAGGTATATACAATAGAGATCCATTCATCTAGAAGATGTCTAATGTTCTATAACTAGTAATTAGGCTAAAGTACTATTATTAGAGAAGACAAATAACAAAGCCAGGGGTTGGTGGCTCACACCTGTAATCCTCAGGAGGCTGAGATCTGAGGATCATGGTTCAAAGCCAGCCCGGGAAGGAAAGTCTGTGAGACTCTAATCTTCAAAAAACCCAGAAAACTGAAAGTAGTGCTGTGGCTCAACTGGTAGAGAGATAGCCTTGAGCAGGCAGGCTCAGAGACAGCACCTAGGCCCAGAGTTCAAGCCCCATGACCACCACCACCACCACCACCAACAACAACAACAAAAAAAAAGGAGGAAAAGAAAAAAAAAAGAAATCAGAAGACAAATAACAGGATAAAAACTGATTACCACTATCATCTTAAGTTACTATCTCTTCAACTAAGTGAAATGTGGATGAAAAGACATTGCTGACAGGCTTAACAGGTTCTGATATTTCATGATTCACTTGACAGTTCTGCTTATTATTTTCTATCCTTTTCTGGAGTGTTCTGTAATGCTCACTTCCTCCTCCTGCTGGGAAGTTATAGTAGCATTATGTGTAGAGGTTGGTAAGCTCAATCAAAACATTGATTTTCCTGGCCAGCAGGTGGTGCTCTTAAGTCCTTTTTACAAACTTGTTAATATCCTCTCCTGTTTGTGCTCAATCATTATGCCACAATCACATTTCCTCAAATTTTTCTTTCCTTAATGCTTAGGAGATCCCTTTAATAAGCTTAAACTCTTATTAATTAATGTTTCCTTTCTTTATCTAACTATCCAAGATTTTCTCTCAGGCCACCACCCGTGTGAAACTTGGTATGACCAAGGAGTGCCTTTCTTTAGTCAAATGGAAGATGGGCAGATGCAATCAAAGGCAGAATTAGGTAGGTGAACTTTAGAAGACAGTGTATGCCAACACTGAGAACCCAGGAAAACAGTCATGTAACTACATATGTACTATACACAGACAGCAATCAAGAGTAGTGCTGCCTGTTCTATTTTATGTATTTTTAAAAGTACACTGAGGCTGGAGGCCAACTGCCCCTCTTCCTCCACACCCAGACACTTGTATGATCTTTCAGCATGCATCTTTGTTTGGTGCATCCTTTCTGTAAAATTCTAAGAGAAGACTTCACTGAAATAAAGTGAAAGCTTTAGAAGGTATAAGAATCAACTTCTTCACCTAGAGCCTTCTTAGGTTTATATTCTGCAGTCTTACCATCTGGAAATGCAAGCACAGGATGAACGCAGGAGTCCAACTGGGAAAGACGTTCCAACAGTGGGGCTTCATAGTGGACTTCAGGAGGCATGGTGCTGACACTGCCTGAACCACACAATGCACAGAAGGGATTCACATCACAGCCAGTGCGCACTGTACTATTCCGGTGAGCCTGTAAAGGGCCAAACAAAATTCAGCATCCAATAAACACTCATTCTTTATCCTAAAGATTCAGAGACACCTTCTATATAACTATCTGGCATTGGTTATGGGATGTTGATTAGTCTGCTCAGATATTTCTATTTCCCTAGCACACTGACCTTTAAAATGACAAAGGAAACTTTCTTTAAATGATGTATTCCAATTACATGAAAGCCATGCTTGCTTGCCTCATATCAAATTTGTCGCAGTTTTAAGATAATCAGAAACTGTGCTGACCACACATTGGAAAAAAAAACAAAAACTAAAATAGCCAGGTGCTGCTGGCTCATGCCTGTTATCCTAGCTACTCAGGAGGTTGAGATCTGAGGATCAAGGTTCAAAGCCAGCCGGGGTAGGAAAGTCTATTATAGGCTCAACTCCAATTAACCACCCAAAAAGCTAGAAGTAAAGATGAGGTTCAAGGGGTAGAGCACTAGCCCTGAGCAAAAAGAGCTCAAAGACAGTGCCCAGGCCCTGAGTTTTTAGCCCCAGGACTGGTGCACGCATGCACATACCCAAGTATACACACACAGAGTAAAATAAACATTCCCAAACCAACAAAACATACATGTATACATTCTAGTTGCTAGGAGCTAGATCCCTGTAACTCATCCTAACTACCCTATTCCTCTTTTTTTTGGGGGGGGGGAGGGTCGGTCATGGGGCTTGAACTCTGGGCCTGGTTGCTGTCCCTCAGCAATTCAGCTCAAGGCTAGTGCTCTACCACTTGAACTACAACGCCACTTCCGGTTTTCTGGTGGTTTATTGGAGATGGAGTTTCATGGACTTTCCTGCCCAGGCAGGCTTTGAGCCGCCACTGGCACCCGGCTACCCTACTCCTTTTTAAACTGGGCCTCCTACTTTTCCTTACTATTTTCAACTAATCAATACAACAGTAAGTGTAATCTTGTTTTTAAATCTCAGATATGCTACAACTGTGGGAATTAATAAATTTCCAAGTGGCTTATCATCTCATGAGGAAAAAATCAAAGTTCTCACATCTCTATAGCTACTAGCTTTCAGGAAACACAAAGGAAAGAGAACCACCACTGATAAAGGGACAAAAGGATACATATGTGATAACATGTTACAAAATGTCAACTCTAAGCAGTAAATATTCATCATATAGGTGTTCATTGTAAGTTAAATTTTTTGCTATATATCTGAATTAGCTAATAACAAAATTTGAAAAAGAAGCCGGACACAGGTAGCTCACACCTCTAATCTTAGCTACTCAGGAAGCTGAGATCTGAGGATCACGGTTCAAAGCCACCCCGGGTAAGAGAGTCTGTGAGTCTCTTATTTCCAATAAACAATTCAGAAACCTGAAGTGGTGCTGTGGCTCAAGTGGTAGAGTGCTAGCCTTGAGCTGAAGAGCTCAGGGATAGCACCTAGGCCCAGAGTTCAAGTCCCATGATTGACAAAAGAAAAAAAAAATGATACCACAGGGGCTGGGAAAGTGGCTCAGTGGTAGAATGCTTGCTTTGCATGCATGAGGCCCCGGGTTCGATTCCTCAGCATCACATAAACAGAAAAAGCTAGAAAGTAAGTGCTGTGGCTCAAGTGGTAGATCGCTAGCCTTGAGCTGAAGAGCTCAGGGCCAGTGCCCAGGCACAGAGTTCAAACCTCATAACTGACAAAAACAAACAAAAAAATGATACAACAGACTTCTTGTTTCTGGCCATGATGAAGCAGTAGTGATCAAGGCTTACACTATAGACATATATAAGTTAGCAAACTGGAACAGGCACTGGAACACTGGGAAACAGATGGTGGCCTCTAAGATGGCTCTGGTTTTCCTGTGGAATCACATCCCCTAGATTGCAGAACAGGGACAGGGATTCCAAAGAGACAAATGATGGTTTCATGAGTTGGGAAAAAATCCTAAAGACCAGCACTCAGAGGCTAAGGTAACTTAAAGAGTATAGACAGAATCTATGAGAAAATGAACTCCAGAAATATTCATGAGGTCCCTTGAGTGCTGCTGAATATCAAAAAGTACATGTACAGGCTAGACAAAGAGCAACTGGAAAGCTGTGCACTGAATGATTTCAAGCTAATCCAGGCTAGGAGTGTCTGAATTATGAACAAAGTGATATGCAGCACTCAGAATTACCATTCTTCTGCCTAACAAAGGTCAAGTAATTTATATAACAACAAAACACAGCTTTTATTTTTGTGGTATCTGGAGACTGAACCCAGGGCGTGAGCTACATTATTTTTTAGCTTTAGACAGGATCTCACTAAGTTGCCACAGCTGGCTTCCATGATCTTTCTGCCCTAGCCTTCCAGGTACCTGGGATTACAGGCATGCTTTACAGTGCCTGGAAAAACTAAGCCTCTTTAAAAGGATATAAAAAATTCACTTGCTATAATCAGGTAGAATACATGTCCAATACTCAATGAAAATTGCTAGTTTGCCAGGAGGAGAGAAACTGGAAAAGAAAGTAACTCTACAGGGATAGTGTTTTTGTTTGTTGTGAGGTTTGAACTCTGGGCCTGGGCACTGTCCCTGAGCTCTTCTTCAGCTCAAGGCGAGCGCTCTACCACCTGAGCCAAAGTGCCACTTCTGGTTTTCTGGAGATGAGTCTCACGGACTTTCCCATCTGGACTGGCTTTTGAGCCACAATCCTCAGATCTCAGCTTCCCGAGTAGCTAGGATTATAGGCATGAGCCATTGGTGCCAGACTTTTTTTTTTTTTTTTAAGTAAGCCACTGAAAACTCAGGGATAAATAATCCAGTAATCTCAGCAAATACATTAGAAAGAAAGCCAAGAACAACCTAACATTAAGAATTCTGCAGCTGCTTTTTCCTGAAGATACTAGTTCATTCTGGAAAAGATGCTTAGCATAAGATGCCTTGGTAAGGACCATTCCTAGGAAACAGAAGAACAGGCAGAGCCTTTCCTAATGCTAAAAAGGGACAACATTAGAGACTAGTAACAAATATCCAGTGAAAAGAGAGGACAAGAAACTAAGATGGGCTTCTTGTTTTGGTACTCATCATCACAATTTGTGAAGCTGTGAATGATAGAAGGCTAAGAGGCTAAGCAGAATATCTCTGAAAAGTAGATAGGAAAATTTTGGCTGTATGTATGTATGCATTCAGACCAGACCAAGTGGATTAAAATTTCTAATCACAACTACATATGCCTAACTGAGGATGAAAGTAAAGTATTAGAGCTTCTATATTTAATATTCAACAACGACAATAAAACAAGAGCTCCTAGCACTTCAGATTTTGTATATGAGCCAGGTGTGGTGGGTACATAGCTCAGGAGATAGAAGCAGGAGCATATCAAGTTCCAGGTCAGCCTGAACACTCAATAACAGCAAGAATCTTAGAAGATGAATATAACAGGCACACAATCTGAATCAACAGATTGGTTTATAGGAATTAAACAAACAAAAAGGAAAGACAGATAGGAAGTATGCAACAGAATATATTATCATATGCAGGATACTATGAAAACATCCAATGTACTTGTAAATTTGATAGCCTTAGGAGAAATAGAGGAACTGAATATAACCAACAGTAATATCTGAAGAGATAATAGCTAGTTTCTGTAAAAATTGGTTTAAAATACAAAGCCATATATTTAAGGAGGTCTGCAAATTTCAACCAGAAACACAAGGAAACTTGTATTTAAGCATACTATAATGTTTATATTGCAAGAGAAAGGAGAGCAAGGAGAAACCTACTAGTTTTGATTCCTCAACTGGTGTTCTACTTTTTGAGCCACATATTTAGCTAAGCGTTTGCTGGTTGTTTTAAAAGTGTGTCTTGAGGAGTCTATTTTTCAAGATGGCTTTGACTGTGGATCTCAGTCTTCTGAGTAGCTATGATTACAGGTATGAGCCACAAGGTACTCGGCTTATTCTGGATCTTGATTTAAAGTATTATACTATTTATGAGACAATCTTAGAAATCTGAATGTACTATAGTCTTAGACAATACTGAACAAATTCTTATCAAGAAATCATCCATTACAACTAGATATTACCTGCTCCAGTCTTTGTCATATTTTTTTGGTGGCCTCAAAATTGCTATACTTGCTGGGCGCTGGTGGCTCACGCCTGTAATCCTAGCTACTCAGGAGGCTGAGATCTGAGGATCGCAGTTCAAAGCCAGCCCGGGCAGGAGAGACCGTGAGACTCCTATCTCAATAAACCACCAGAAAACCGGAAGTGGCGCTGTAGCTCAGGTGGTAGAGCGCTCGCCTTGATCTGAAGAGCTGAGGGACAGCGCCCAGGCTCAGAGTTCAAGCCCCACGACCGACAAAAAAAAAAAAAAAAAAATTGCTATACTCCAGCTGGGCACTGGTGGCTCACGCCTAGGTGAGCGTAGCTGAGTAGCTAGGATTCTAGCTACTCATAAGTCTGAGATATTAGGATCAAGGTTCAAAGCCAACCCGGGCAGGAAAAGCCGTAAAACTCTTACCTACAATTAACCATCAGAAAACCGGAACTGGTGCTGTGGTTCAAGTGGTAGAACGCTTGCCTTAAGCTGGACAGAACCCAGGCCCAGAGTTCAAGCTCCAGATCCACCCCCCACTCCCTACCCCCCCAAAAAATTGCTGTACTCAGCTTCCAAAGTGTTAGATGTTGGGATTACAAGGAATGGATCACCATAGCTAACTTTACTTTCAGTTTTACAACAGACTGAACTAGCAGTCTGTAAGAATTAGTAACATTGTTCCAGAAAGTCTTAGAAAGTAGAGATACAACTGTAATCAGAGCTACTTGGAAGACAAGCCTCCTGGGGATCATAGTTCAAGGCCAGTCCAGGCATAAAAAGTTGTCAAGATTCCATTTTAGGAAGTGGTACTGTGGCTCAAGTGCTAGAGCACTTGCCTTGAGCTGAAGAGCTGAGGGACAGCGCCCAGGCCCAGAGTTCAAGCCCCACAACCGACCAAAAAAAAAAAAAAAAAAGCACAAGAAAGATTCCATCTTACTCAATGGCTAAATTCA